CATGAACTTGTTGGCTGCAATCCGAAATAGTGCAGAAATTTGAAATGGAATTAAAAGTAGAAGCGGGCAATTTGATTAGGGCAATTTAAAAGGGCGAGTACACACATGAAATTTTAAATTCCATATACGTGCTGACATAGCTTTTTAAATATTTAGTTTCCATTGCCAAGTTTGCATTTTAAAGTTTTCCCGTCTCTAATCTTTAGCTTTAACAATATTTCCAGACCTGGTTTAATTTTCGAGTTCCCACTTTGCTGCATAATTTGCAAAACAAATTGAAAAACACTTGCCATGCATTGCTTATACTGCTGTATATTGTTCTTCTAGTTTGTCCACAGGAAAAATTTACATATCCCAGCAGTTGTGGGAACATAAAATTTGACTAACTTAACAAGGACTTGATATGATGGTCTGCTTTGCTTTTGTTTTCTGGAGATTGTTTTCGGCTTGAAGTTGTTCAAGGAGATTTAAATTTAATTTTATTGGTGCACTAGTTAAAGCTAATAAGTGTGAAAAATTATTTTTAATCTGATAAACTGTGTACCTTAATTTTTCTTTTTTTATTAATTTAAAATTAATATTATTCAGGCAATTATCTTCAAATAAATAATTGGCTTAAAGCCATTTTTACAGCTTTAACTTATATCTAACTTTATATTTATAAAAACTAAAATTTGAATGGGATGTTAAACATCTTTGACATTTAATTTTAAGTTCTTCCTGAATTACAAAGTTATTTAAGTGCTTTTAATTTTTTGTATCACTTACACTTAAAGTTTTAAAATGTTATCTTTTTTTTGAGATATTTAGAATGTAAAAATTGGTATGCAAGTCTTTTCTTCTAGCGTGTAAAGAGTCGTTTCTCCGTGCCGCTGTTGTTCCTCCATTTTTTTTTTGACCAACAATATTAATATGAATGACTGTCATGCCTTGGTGTTAGTGTTGGTGTTGGTGGTCCTGCTTGTGTGTGCGTATAATTATGTGGATGTGTGTGTGCAACGGAACGTTAAATGTGCACGTGACAAGCGTGTAATGAGGAAGTCTTCAGTCTTCGCTCGTCTAGGATGCTAGCCAGCCAATATATAGTCGGGTTGTGTACTATATATGGGGCGATGTCGTGCCATGTTACGCATATATCCGACTCTACATATATTTCAATCATTTTAAGTGTGTTTGTGTTACAACGTCAGCAGGACAGCGTCGCCACCACAGGATGGCCCGTATTTTCTCTGGCTCTCCGGCTCAGAGTCCTGAGTCCGGAGTCCTGAAGTCCTGAAGTCCGTGTCCCCGTATCGTTGTCGTCTGAAAATTGGACAATGATTTATGAGGCGTTAAGTCAAACTTCATATTAATTTCATTTCGTTTTCAACCAGCCCTCTGCCTCCTTCCTCCGGCTGCTTTAAAGTTGAAAATGAGCGCACATGAGACACGTAAAATGCGAGAATAAAAGCCAGTCAAGAAGGATAAAATCCGTCTGAGCAGTCGATAGCTAGGCGAAATACGGTAACAGGAAAACGTGTTATGAATTTATGGAATGTGGTCGTTGGGAAAACAGCGAATGATCAATGTACTATGACCAAAAATAAAATTTTAAATATTTAGTTAAAGTTTATTAACTTTTACTTTTAATTTACCAATAATAGTTTGTGGAATATGCCACATAAAATATTTAATTTAATTTTTGGGAGCACATAGTTGAAGAATTAATTAATTTCATGTGCTTGATTATAAGAAACATATTTGCTTGCTTAAGTTCCTTCCTTACGTTTAAGCATAATATCAGTATATCACTTATGTTACTTTAGCTAGGAACTTGTAAGAAACGTTGTTTGTGTTATTTTGTATGGTGCCAGGCTTTTACCTTGTCGTCTTTAGAATTTGTTTATCTTTTGAAACATGTTTCAACTTTTGTATAATACCAAATAATAACAAAATAAGGGGTTATCTGGATCAACTTGTAAAAGTTTGTTCGTTCACATTGTTTAAAAGTATTGGAAGTAAGCTGTTAATTAAAATTATATGGACAAAGATGTTGTTTGTTACCTTTTCAAATACTTTTTATTTTAGTGAAACTTAATGAATGAGTTTATATTATCTTAAATACAATTCATGTGAGTGCACATTGGCGCGATCCCAATTAATGTCTACATAAAAGTGAAAAGGGTATATAAATGTAGTCGTCATTTTCTCTTCCAGATTAACACCTCTAAGAAGGAACACAAACGCACGTTTAGACATTTGAAATTTCGTTGGGCGTATTCGGGGTTCTGCTGGCCTTTATCCCCCAAGCATAATCATATTTTCTGCCAACAATTGTATAACATGTGTAATTTGAGCATTTCATTCGTTCATTCATACATTTATTCGTTCCACACAGACAAGCACACCCACACATGCACACACACAAAGGCACCTCACCACGCACACTCGACTGCCTGCTGTGTGAGTGAGCTGGGCTGTGAAAATAACTTGTGGCATGCTTTGAGGCGTTTGTGTGGGAAGCCAGAACTTTGAGCACTCCTTCGCCCGCCGCCGCCCCTCGGCCACACAATTTGGCATTCTCCAGTGGTTTTTGCCTTTTCCACGCCCCTGACCCCCGCGCCTGTCTCTGTTTATTGGCCAGTGAAGCGTTAACCATGGTCAATAAAAAATTTATTTAGACAACCACAACGGCAACACAAATTTTTGCTGTTTCCTGATAAAAAAATATTATCCTCAGTTGGAAAATTTTTTGGCAGCCAGCACACAATTCAGCAACACAAAAAATACTTGTAAATTTCTCATTCTCTCCTACTCGCCCTCGTTTTGATGGTGTTGAGTGTTGGCATTTGATTTATTTGGGGCGTTTGAATATTTCAAATAATTCATATTTTATTGACTAGACATGACCACTGGTGGCAGAGTGAGCTGAGGAGAACACTGCCAACGCTCTGACCAGAGCAATTAAATTGTATTGTGCACTTCTGTGTTAATTCAATTTGTTTTTCGAAATTTTTCAAAGCTAAATTTGTTTAGCAATCGACTGAGCAACTGAGTTAAATAGTTTATGGTTCCCCCTCACTGGCAATATTTTTATCGTTTATTTTTAATGGACTCATTAGAGAGACATAATCAAATCAGTTAGTTGTTCCGTAAATAAGCACACTATAAATTTCAAACTGTGCCATATCTCACTCAATTAATAAAGCATTTTCTAAAACTATTATTTAAATTTGGTCAATATTCTGTTCGTTGCTCTGTTTACAATAAATTTAAACCGGTCGACAAATTGCCAACAACCAAGAAACACTTGGAGCTGGCAAACAATTAAACAAACTGAGAAGCAAACAGCAAACAACAAGAGGACAAAACAATAAATGCGTTTTGGGTTTCATTTTCTGGCAAACGAAAATGTCTCCAGGGTCAATTTCAAATGCATTTACATAGGCCCACACACACACACACACACACACACACACACACACATACATACACACAGTTACACACTCACACATGGACACTCGAAACATAGATTAGTGTAATTACTATACCATGGAAAATGACGTCGACATGAACATGCAAACGGCTCAAGGGCATTTCCACTCCATTGGGGACGAGATCGATTGGGTTAGGGATTTTCGGGGGGCGGAATTAGGTTGGACTGCACATATCGGAAATTCTGCTTTTGATTTCATTTCATTACGCATTTGCAATTTCAACTATGAATAATTGAAAATGTGCACTGCATACTTTAAGGCCCAAATTGCCATTACAATTGAACATTTGTGCTGTTGTTGCAGTTGCAATCGCAGTTACGGTCGATGTTTTTGGCTAATTCAGCCGAAATATGCTTATTACGCATTAAAACTAATTAAGCATGAAACTCTATTTGATGACCTCTTCACCCCTTTGAAGAGGAAAAGTTCGTTGCCAGCTTGTTTGTATTCAAAATTTGATTGATGGCAACAAATGTTGATTTGTAGTCGAAGTCAGACAAATTGGCCAAGCATTCTACTTTGATTTAGAGGGAATTAAGTGGCTTGATTGGGTCTTGATTTTAGATGTTATAATGCCTCGGATAAGAACCCGGATCCTTTTGCTCTGCTGGCAGCTTCCGTTTAACCCACCATAATGACTCTTAATTGCCATTCCTTTCGTCCTGCAGGACCCTTCAATTACCACGCAATTAGGTGCGAGTGTCAAGTGGAATGAAACCAAAAAAAAAAAAGGAACTCAGTAGCTCACTTAGAGGCGTCCAAGCAAACACTTGCAACACTCGGCATAAATTAATTATAATTTCCCCTGTAAGTGTTCCGTGTAATTGTAATTGTTGTTATGGCTGGCTTATAATTGTCGGTCTTGTTGATGCCGTTTCAGTTGCTGTTTTCGGTGTTTCTGCTCTTGTCGTGCTAAACAATTAAGTGTAAATTGTAAAACATGCGGAGCTGCGGTCTGTGGTCATGTTTCTCTGTGTGTTTTTGTGGGGAAACACCAAAACGGAAGTGGAAACTGAAACAAAAACACAAGCAGAGCTATTGAAAGGACTTTTTCGAGTCTCGAAGATTAATTTATATTATTTGGGTGGCCATTATTAACAGGCAGGCAAACAGATTTTGACTTGGTGGTAAGAGATATTTGAGTAATTAGAGGTGAAAAAGTGAGTGTAGTTATTGAGCCATCACGTAAATGAGATGTTAAATGTATTGCAGCACTTAATTATATCGATTATCAAATTACTGTTTAAATTCAAATGTATCAATGACTTTAAGTTAGTGCTCTCATTAATAGATAAAATTTGAATGTTGTCAATTGGGTTTGTAATTAAGTGGATAGTTTAAAAATGGTGAATTTTATTAAACCAATCGTTGTTCAATGATAAACAGCTAAGTAAAAGTTATAGACTTTGAGGATAAACAGCTAACTAAACGTTTCTTCCGATGTTTTCAACATTATATTGTGTAGTTATTTCCTAAAACTTTAGTTATATATATTTTATTAAGAAAATATGTTTTATAAAAAGATTAAAAATTTTTAGTTTTGAAGAAATCATATAAATACTCATAAGACACCAGCAGCAAAGCCCCACCCGGACCGGACTTCATTACCATTGGCCCGAGACCCCTGAACAGAGCTCGGGCACCCTCCTCCCTGAAAGTCGTCCTTATCGTATCGATGGTCCACCGGTACTTGACCTCGCCCTTCACCGGCTGGGGTCCTTGAATCCGACACTTGGCCATATCCAAAGTGACGGTCATCACGCAAGCGAGTGAGCTGGCGAAGCCAGCAATTGAGACCTTTCGCAGGAGTTCTGAGGCAGAGTCCTGCGAGATGGGAACCCAGTCCTTGATAGCGTTGTAAAAGCCAAAGAAGCCAAAATGGAAGACAGCATTTCGTGCGACAAGCGCCGTGATACCACGATATAGTCCCTCGATGCCATATCCATCGTGCTTGATAATGTACTTGACCACCGACAAGGTTTTCAGGGGTTTTTCGCGATTAGCCTGCTGCGTGACCTTGACCACCTCGAAAGGATTCACGATGAAGGACTCCAGGGTTCCGGCCAGTGAGCCGGCCATGGCGTGGGTCAGTGGAGTGGCTTGAGGGGCCCCGAAGTAGAAGTACGGCTTTAACAGTTCGTACATCAGGAACTTGGCACCTCTCTTTGGAGTTTCCACACAAATCGGTGGCACAATGCCCTTCCAAAAGGAAGTCAGCCCCTCGTGGCGATAGATCTTGGCGATGGCGTCCAGAGGTCCCCGGTAGATGACCTCGCCACGAACCGGAGTAGTGCCCTGTATCTGCATCCGGGCCTTCACCACATCGAGGGGATGGAAGCAGACGATCTCCAGGAAGCCCGACAATCCGCCAGCCAGGAATTGGTAGTGCGCGTCAGGCCGGGCCGACGCCTCACAAAGGATCGGCATTCGGGCGACGACGACAAATTTGGAATTTCGTCTGAAACCATTTTGTCAAATAAAAAGGAAATCAGCGTTTTCGACATTAACATAAAAGCCAACTTAAAGGTATCCGTTTGCTCCAATTAAACAAACTTGTAAAACCTCTTTGGCAGAACTGGTACTAACATTTAATTTTAACTAATAATTTTTATACCCTTGCAGAGGGTATTATAATTTTGGTCAAAAGTGTGCAACGCAGTGAAGGAGACATCTCCGACCCTATAAAGTATATATATTCTTGATCAGGATCACCTCCTGAGTTGATATAGCCATGTCCGTCTGTCCGTCTGTCCGTCTGTCCGTCTGTCTGTCCGTCTGTCTGTTTCTACGCGAACTAGTCTCTCAGTTTTAAAGATATCGAACTGAAACTTTGCACACACCCTTCTTTCCTTTGCACGCAGTATATAAGTCGGAACGGCCGGGATCGGCCGACTATATCCTATAGCTGCCATATAACTGAACGATCGGAAATGCCATAACTTTGGTGTTTGTAAAGTAAGGAAGTTGGGATTTTCTATGGGTTTTGTATTTGGCTAATCAATCCGACATGCCGAATTTCATAAGGATCGGCCGACTATATCCTATAGCTGCCATATAACTGAACGATCGGAAATGCCATAACTTTGGTGTTTGTAAAGTTAGGAAGTTGGGATTTTCTATGGGTTTTGTATTCGGCTAATCAATCCGACATGCCGAATTTCATAAGGATCGGCCGACTATATCCTATAGCTTCCATATAACTGATTGATCGGAAATGCCATAACTTTGGTGTTTGTAAAGTTAGAATGTTGGGATTTTCTATGGGTTTTATATTTGGCTAATCCATGCCGAATTTCATAAGGATCGGCCGACTATATCCTATAGCTGCCATATAACTGATTGATCGGAAATGCAATAACTTTGGTGTTTTTAAAGTTAGGAAGTTGGGATTTTTTATGAGTATTAAGAATGCATCATATGAATAATTTTGGAGAATATAATTTACAGAGTATTCTGCAAGGGTATATCAACTTCGGCTCCGCCCGAAGTTAGCTTTCCTTTCTTGTTTGTATTAACCTTAAAATTATAACTGCTAAATTTCAAAAGTAGGTTTTAGTTTAGTCGAAATTAATACCTAGGTCGCTATGAACAAACATTAATTATATAATATCATCAATACGAAGCTATAATTCCCATCTGGTTCTAGCTTCGTATTGGTAGGTACACCTTCTATACCGCTAAAAAGTAAATGATTTCAATGCTGGTGTATTAGATTGACTATTGATGAGATATGAATGCATCCCTTGTATTAATTTCTTAGCAATTTATCAGTTAAAATGAAATTATATATCCCTAATAAGAACTCTAGCTAAAATTAGAAACCAATTTAGTTCACACTGGGTATTAAAAGACTGCAAATGAATTAACAGTCCCTATAGACTTGGCTACAACGCCTGTAATTAAGGGCACATTTAAGGGCTTTCTTAAAGGACCATTCTTGTTATTTTACGTCTCGTCACACATTGCCCTCGCCTCTTGTAGCTCCCCCTTAATGATTCTCCGAGTGCCATGTTAATGAATGTCAAGTGCAATGTATGTAGGAACTTCCAACCCCATCCAACCCCCCCCTTCCCATTCCGCATCAAAATGTCTGTTATGCTGGTGGACTCCTGGGCGATCTCATAACAACAATTATGCTAATGTGGCCCAATCCGGGACGTCAATCCAACATAATTGCTAACAAATTAGTCATGGTCGCACAGGCCAGTCCCAGCCCACGCTGCTCATCTTCATCCACACACAACCGAGCTCTTTTGGCCCAGTTTGGAATGTGTGTGTGTGTGGTGGTTCAAGGGTTGGATGATTGTGGGGAGGAGTGAAGTGCAGTGGAGCGAAGTCCATTCGGCAAAGTTTAACACGCGAGCGGAGTGAAGGACCGGCATTGTCTGTGGCTAGGTGTGTATCCTGGCAATTTGCTTGTCACGGTGCACAATTGCAGACCAGGTCCTGGCCACAGCCCACAACCAACTGTGGAGCGTCCTATTCTCCTCGGCCTGATGAGGCAAATGAGTTTCGCTTCCATGTCCTTCAGCTCCTCCTTGACTGCCTGCCTTGTTGGCCTCAAGTACCCTTGGCGTGGGGTTACGTTGCCCAGGTCGTTGTTCATAAGTCAGCTCATTGCCGCCGGCTGTTCCTGTTTGCCTGTTGTTCTGGTATCCTGGTATCCTGGGGCTGAGGTGGCCGCACTCTTGATGGAGAGTGTTAAATTTATATTAGAATATTAGGGCAATGAGCAGGGCTCTTAAGCGAGGTGAAGTGGCAGCACTTTGCGGCTTAAGCTGTTCGCATTTGGAGTTGGCCATGTGACTGATGACTTGGCTATTAAGTAGAGAAGCTCACCGGGTTCAACATTACGTTGATTAATGATAGTTCAATGGAAAGTATACGTTGAAAATCATAAGCTTTAAAGTGTAGGATAATATAAGATCATATATCAGTTGCGTTTTGCATAAGGTTTATAATCTACAAAATAAACAAACTTACCATGTTTTATATACCTCATCCACACTTATTTAATATTCTGCTAACACAATCCATTTAATTACCTAAACCCTTATCTAGTAAAATCTTTTCTGACCAGCCCCATGTCAAAAAACAACCCACAATTGAGTTTACACATCAACACTTTAGTTATTTGCTGGACATTTTCCCTCACCAGCAGAATAAAGAGAAACCCACAGAATTTCACTCACTTTCTCACTTTATTTTTTCCTTTACAGGATTCTGTAAAAAAAATAAAAGAAATGGTGAAACCCCACCCAATGCTTCTCACCCACTGTCAGCAGCACATCAGACATCTCCTTGTCATTTTAAAGCCATTTGATGTATGACAAATCAAATTTGACAAACTGCCAACAGTTGTTTTGCATCTTTGCAACATTTTTCACAGCAGCCACCCCAACTTGGGGACACATGTGAAATCAACTCTGTACTTAATACAGTATAATGGCATAGGGAACACCCATAAGAGCTCAGCATAGAAATAGAAGGAGGGTACGGACAGAACAAAAAATTTACATACTCATGTTTCGCAATACGCCGTGTGACATGCAAAAATGCCACTCCGGAGTCCGGACTCGCTGAGAAAGGGATTCGGATGGGGATCCGGGTTGGGATTAGGATATTGCTCAACGCATGCACATTTTAATGCTCTTTGATTAAAGACAATGATGTCGAAGTTTGGAAACTCATTTGGGCCCCAGGAATTCCGGGGCTCACGTCCGACTCCGAGCTACGAAACTAAACGAAAATTGCGGCAAACTTCGTTCGCACTCACGGGGGAAATAAAAGGCGTGTTCCCAGCCCGGTTTAATTTCAGGGCTTATTCGAGTATGCACTCCATTTCATATATTTTGAATAAAAATTCAAGCGAAGTGTGCACTCCGTCTGACAGTCAAACCGAAGACGGATACGGAAAAAGAGCAGAAGCCGGAGCCGTAGAAGCCGGAGAACGTGAGCTCAATCAAGCGCCTCTAAGAGTCCGACAAGGGAAATTTACAAGTCACACACGAGCGTACAAAATATAGCGTTTGAAAAATGGCAAAGTCAAGGAATGCGGTTGGGCTCCCATCGTCCTCATCTTTCTTTGGCCATCGGGGAATGCATTTTCGGCGAATCGGAATGGAAACGGCGGCGGAAAACTGAAAAAGATCTGCAGTCGCAGTCGTGTCTCAACTGCATTTCGCATAAAAAATTAAAAGTCGCCAGCGTAAGAAATAAGAAATATGCAATTTGCTCGATTTGTGCATGATTTCTCATTGTTTGCCAAGCCAAATGCAGTTAGAGAAACGCGGAGTAATTTGAGAAACAATTCTTTTTATTGGAAATTATTAGCAGATGTTTTCGAAAAATTTGTTATAATCGGATATTTTTGAAGTATTTGTTATAATCGGTTGACTAAATGTAAATGCATGTGCTAGAAAATAACTAAAAATAGGATAATAATAGGATAATAGGATAAGTTTTAAATTAAATGTAAAAGCCGAACTTTAAAAAAAAGAGATTAAAGGAGTCACAGAAATGTTGCTGTCACATTTGGACTTTTTGGAAAAGTTGAGCTTATTTACCACAAAACCTCCCAAAACAATGGGTTCCTTTAAGATAATAATGAATTCTTTTAGACTCTTACGATAAGTTTTTATTTATGTTTCGCATAGATCTGTGAATGTATATCAAATAAGGAATAAAATCAAGGGAATTCAATTTTACATTTTAAAGTTTTATGGAATTATTATTGGTTATGATGTCCATTATCATTAGTGGTATATAAAAGGTTTAACCATTATTATTATTATTATTATTATTTAAAAAATATTCTTTGACTATTATCAGATAACATTTTCGGGCACTGTAGTCCCCTAGATGTCCCCCGACATATGATGAACAGATACACTATCTTTACCGCCCCCAGCGCCACCCTTTTTTAGATGAGGACGAGCTGTTATCGATGAAACGCGTACGCTCTTCCCGAAAAAAGTAGACCCCAAGGACATGTTGTCAGTTTGGCAAGTTATTGCACTGCACATGGCCCATTCCCACTACCACTCCCGTTCGCTTGCCTATTCCCAACTCATTTCCATGACCATTTCCATTCCCAGTCCCACCTTTTTTCGATAGTTCCAGTTGCCCGGCGGCGTCTTTGACTTCAGAAACGCTATTTTGATTGTTGTGCTGCGATGTTCGCCTGCGTTTGACTTTATGCATGAATGACTTTGAGTGGAACTTGGACTTCATGTGGCTAGAGGGCAATGCTCGGATTGTCCCCTGCTGTTCGGGAGTCTACTACCTGTGCTTTGTACATTTTATATCACGACAAAGTTGTCCAGCGTCGTGGATTCCAGACGCATGTTTCAACTTTGGTCGTTGTCGTCGTCATGTTAATGCCAAGTTTGGCTACCTAAAATCGAGTTATCTGCGTCTGTCTCCCTGTGCATCTGGGCCGACGTGCTACAGTAAATATTCTTTAGC